TGTGTGTGTGTGTGTGTGTGTGTGTGTGTGTGTGTACGAATTATTATTTGCTCGAAGAGTTCAGGGAATCTCGTAGTCGATTATTTACTTGTTTTAATTTTTTTTAATATTTTTATTTCATGAAGTTTTCTAGATTTGGTTTGATGGCAATGATGAAATTCAATGATTGAAATTCGGCTAGCCAGCAGTTAGCGTTCGAGTCCAGGCTAGTGCTGGTCAGAAACTTGGCTAAGTCTGGATCACACTCTCTCTCTCTCTCTCTTTCTCTCTCCTTCTTTCAGCTGCTTTATAAGACTCGTTCTGTCAGCAGTTAAGGATTAGCTTATTATTGAATATTATAATAATACTGGTGCACGGCAAACAGGCCATAATAAAGTAAAATTCATCTAAATTGGTAAGACTCTTCTCCCTTCCAGGCAGGTAGCTCTCCGGAGGTAGCTCTCTTACCGTCCAGAACTATGCAACGGTAAAGCCAAGCGAACTACTTGCTGTGCCCCCAGTTACCGTTTAAATTAATGAATACAATTATTTAATGTTTTAATAATCTTTTTATTATATATATAGAGACATATGTATATGTATATATGTAGATATGCTCATGAAAATAATAGCAATACTCAATGATATAACTACTATTTCCATGAGCACAGCTATAAACGTTTTTCTTTTGATCTTAGCACATTTCAGACGGTGGATCATTTAATTAGAACCAATAACTAAATACAGTCGCATAGCACATTTATATATATAGAGCTCTCTCCCTCTATATATATCTATATTAATCCATACATATGTATATGTGTATGTATGTATATGTGTATAATTTGTATATATGTATATGTATTTTTTTTATTATGTTTACTTATTTAATGTTAATACAGTTGTATTTTGTTTTCTATTCTAAATTGTAGTTAAAAATTAGCTGATTTTTTTTTTTAAATAAAATTTGTATGTTAAACGTGTTTTAAGTCCATTTGCAGCTGCCAATTGTTGATTTAAGGTTTATTGTTCTTTTGGGTATTTAGTGAGGGCGTGCCCACGTGTCCTTACACAAACATATACATATGTACATTTACATTATATACATACATATATGTCTGTATGTTAACATACTCATATAGCTAGCAGTTGCTTTCGTACAGTTGTTTCAGATTCTTATTTATCACAGACAGCCCTCAAACAGGTGTGCAGTTGTATGGGTGTGTGGGTGTGTGGGGGTGTGTAGTCGCACTGGTTTCTGAGTGTATGGGTGTGCAAGTATACATTAGTTGTTATTTCGTAGATGGTTTTCATCACTTGGCCAAGTGCATAAAATTTTGCTACTCGCAGCATAAAACGTATTCATCTCCTTCATCTGTTGTTTGTCTTCGTTGTTAGTGTTATTTGTTTGGGTCTATTGGTTGGCTATCAACTAGAGGCTAGCTCTTGTTCGGATAGCCTAAACGTTCAACATTTTGTTTTGAATTTGCTTTTTTTTTTTTTTTTTCTATGTGCTCCAACGCTTAATCCCAGCAGCCTGCTTACATAAATATATTTTGTTGCATCTTCCCCACACACACGCACACGCACACACACTCTCTCGCTCTCGCCTCCGTTGACATGTAGTATCACGCTCTCTGCCTAAGGCTTGGCTGTTTGGGCCAGATTAGACGAGAGGCTGTTACTGCTGCTGTTGCCAGCGTCCGCACTTGGCTCAGCGCTATTGCGCTGCTTGTTGAGCAGCTGCACAAAGTATTCTCCAAATACGGCGTGATTGTAGGATACCAAGCGACGGAAGGATGCAATAAATGCGACCAGCTCCTCCCCGAAGTCGGCGAAGCCAGCGGGCGGCGGCGGTATGTTGCCATTCGAGCGCAAGGCAACTCGAACAAAACCGTCCATACGATTCGCTGCAACAAAACAAGACAAACAAATTAGCAACAGAAGCGTAAAGTGTAATACGGCGTGCCGCAGTTGAAATAGTCTGGCTCAGCAGTGCATATATTCTTTCCTCTCTTCTCTATCTATTTGCAGTACGAATTGCCATCAAAAAGTACAGAAAAGTAGCATAAGTGTTCGGTAGAAGATAAGTTGATTCTTTGGCAATGTTCATACTAGAACTAAATTTATATCATTTGAATCCTATAATAATATTGTATGTCGATTGGAATAAGATTTTATAAATACATATGCCCTACATACAGCCCTTAATATTGGCAAAATCGGATCAACTTATCAGGAAAAACAAACAAGTTTTCCATACCAGAACTAAATTTGGAACAAGAATATATTATGCACATTGTGAGCCCCTGTCTCTTAAAGATTGTGTGGTTCTATTACCCATTAGTGTGCGCACAGGTGACGATTTGTTGATCAACTGCTTGACTTGGCTTTGGATTTGTGTCTCTTGCGATTCGCTGAGTAACGGCAGTTTCTCCTTCTCCAGACATTTGTTTATGAACGAGCGAATCTGCTCGTAGCAGTTGTCGATGGCAGAGCTTAGCTGACTATAGGAGGGAGAGAGAGAGAGAGAGACAGCAAGATGAGTGAATGATTCGACAGTAGTGCGTGCATCTCACTCACTCCTGCTGCTTGACATGCTGAACGATTATGTCCAACTGTTTGGCCAGTTCGATGCGATTCTCACGGCGCTGCGATATGATTGGAACACCTTGTGCAATGGATATGAGGGCAGCGCACAAAATGAGACGCTGACAACGCCAGCTGAGGCCCTCAAAGCGCTCCTTATCGATGCGCAACAGTTCGGGAAATTCCTTGTCTGCCGGATAGTTCAGCAGCTGCTTGAATGCATTGAAGAGGATCTCCTCGTTGTTGTTGCAGCCGGCGCGTGCACGTTGCAGCCAGTCCTCGGTGGCGGGAAATCCAACTGGAAAAAGGGAAAAAGCCAATAAGTTTTATGCATTTGTAGAAGAGAGCCTAATCCGTATTATTATTATGTATGGAAGCTATGAGAGTTCAACTACATAGTTTTGGTATTTTTTAGATCAACTAGGTCGAAAATGTGTTTTTTTTAGATCAAGTCATCCTTCATCCCTCTCGCTCTTCAAGTTTCTAGTTGTTTTACAAATTTAAGGAATGACAGGTAATTTTTAGATCATGTGGGACGAACAAGTCTTTTTAGATCGAGCCTCAAGATTGAGAGAGATCTTGTCCATACCCTATCCTAACCTGCTACACTTCCCAATTGGTATTAAGCTATCTCTCTCACACTCTTTCTTAATCAAATTTACTAACTAATTACAGGGTATACGCACCAGTGCCATGATATTCGCGCAAGAATGTACTAAACTTTTGCTTCTCATACTCCACAGAATTTGCTGCTATATTATTGCGTGCTGCCGAAACCATAAAGTTGGCCATATCCAGCTTCATCAGGGCCATGACCTCCAGTATGCCACGGAAGGTATCAATCACATCGTCAATTTCTCGCAGCTTGGCCACTGCCTCATCGCGTGCCGGTGCGCACATGCTGGCCAACAGATTGATCACGAAATTGGCATAGGACCTAAAATCTAGAGTTCCACGCTCCGCCTGCTGACGGATGAGCGCCTCATCTAGTGTCGCATTGATGCGCGACAAGGCGTTTGTATTGTTCGGCGAGAGAAGCTGCGGAAAGTCCTCCTTAATCTCACTCAGCAAACGGATGGCTTGATCATATGATGGCGGATCACGTTCCAGTTGCTCACGCAACAGATTCCAAAATGCTTTGTGTACCATTGCCTTGATGCGACCCTCCAAGCTGGCGGGGATTAAGGGATAGTTAGAAAGGGAGAGCGAAAGGGTGAGAACCGAGCAAGCTCACCTGTTCATGGGCGGCTCGTATGGCTGTAGCTTAAACTCCGGGTTGAGTGCTATCTCGTGGGCAAGCTCCATATTCTTGAGATTCTTCAGCATGCCCGCCACCTCGTCCATGGTGACCACTTTTGGAGGGCTACCATCCAGGCTGGGCAGCACAAAGCGCATCATGCTATCTGTTGAGCTCTCGCTATCCGTGCGTATCTCATTGTCCGACTGCTGTGGCTGCTCCTTGTTGTTGTCTTTGGCCTCCATTTTGCTGACCTTTTTTTAATATACAGCTGAACCTAATGCCCAATGGGACGAGTGTTTTTCTGATTGGCTTGACTAACAGTCTGGACTTCAGCTGTTCTTATTTGATTGCACACTTTCTCCAAATGCTCGGAATTTCCAGACTTTTCAGTTAATCAGTAATATATTTAGTATACAGTAATATAGAATAACTGAGAAATGTTCGGATCGGTTGTCGATTTTCCAGCTTTATGGTTTTCAAGTTTGTTTCTGCGGTCGCTGCAATTGGCTTCTTTGTTGTTCTTTGTTGTCCGTTGTTTTGGTTGTTGTTGCTGTCGTGCAACTGGTTTTCTGCAAATATGGAATTGAAGCGTGTTTTTCCTTATTTGATGCAATTGCGTCTCAATTTCCGTGTTTACGAAAAGGAAGCGCACAAAGAGAGGTTTGCAAAGCGCACAGCTTGGCTTTGGCTTTGGCTTTAGTTCAGGGTCAACTGCGTCTAAGGCTGATGAATTGCGACGTTGAAACAGAATGCAAGCCAATAACCGTTAAATGTGAGTGAGTGAGCTTGCATGTACAATGTATGTATGTATATGCGTGTGTGTTTGTCTCTGACAGACAAAGGAGCAGCGAAAACAGTAACAAAGTAATCCAACCACTTTACGTGCGCGAACACAGACACACACACACACACACACAAATGCAAAGGGGAGCATACAAATCTTTAGCACAGATCAAAACGCAGAGAAAAGAAAATTTATGCATGCATACATATATATGTACATATAAGAAAATTTCTTGCAATTTGAATCTGAGGCGCTGACACAGTTTCCAAAATTAAAACGGAAAAGCGAAGCAAATTGCACAACGGCAATCGACAAACGGGCAGCGAAAGACTGATATAAACAAAGAGGCGCAAATAAAGCAGCCAATGAAAACAGAAACGAAGAGAATTCGACTATTGCGCAGCAAGCAGCTGTGTGTCTGCATGTATATGTGCGTATGTGTGTGCACAAGCATGCATACATGTGCGTGTGCGTATTATATTGTGAAATGGACACAAGGACGGCCCGATTGGGTGGTTGGGGACAAAAGGGATGGCACAACAATTGCGACACTTACAAATACATATTCTCTCTCACTAAATACACAAATATATACAAATTGATTGCACCAATTAGACTTACCACCAATAGGAACTGTGTAATTTGATGCTATTTTTCTTCAAAGTTAGAATTTGTTGAATACCACTTAATTTATAGTTTTTTTGCTTAAGTTTTCTTTTTTTTTTAACACATTTCCACAATTTTAAAACATTTTTTTGCCCGTACGCTGCTCATGCTTACGATGTCCAAATTGTAATGTGAGTAATAATTTGTTATGAATGTACGATTTCGATTTGAACTAAGCACAGGCCACCTTTGTTTGTTGTGTTTGCTTTCTGGTTTTTGTTGTTGTAAGTGCAGTTGTTGTTATTCGCATATGTTCCACAACATTCGAGAATAAAAGCCAGTATGCACTTCACTGCATAAGATGGTCAAGCAAAAAACTAAATATCCGTATCCGTATCTATATATGCATATCAACAGCTGTTCACAAAATTTTCGACGATTTACAAAAATTATTAACTAATTTTTAACTGAATGTCAACTGACTCCGACAAGCACAAAATTCGTTTTGATATATTTTTTCACAGCATGTTTATAGAACGAACAAAATTTGTTATGCCAGCTTTGACTGTTGCAGCAGACTCAGCTTATGTGATATGCTGCCAGACCGTTGGTAGAAAACTCAACGGTCTGGCAAAAGTCGAGTGCATAATTCGACGATGTGGCAGGGCCAATCACTAAACATCAGACACCAGACAGACACACAATAGTATAGAAGAATTTCAGGTTTTTTTTTCTAGGCTTTAATGTTAATATTATAAAAACAAATATAACAGCTGTGGTAAAAGAGAGACACACTCGCAAACACACACACACAACCAAAAGAAGCAGCAGCCTCAGCGTAACATTGGCCAAGTGCAGTGTGTTTGTTGTTAATGCCAATCGATGTTGTAGTGCTAAACACAGTGTGTGCAACGCCTCCCGCCCATCCCCTCCTACCTGCCCGCCCATAGCCCTGTTTCTGAATCACAACAATGGAAAGTGAGAAGATTTTGATGGCTGCCGGTGTTACGGTGGCCGCCGTTGTCGGCGCCTTCGTTTTTTGGGGCCCATCAGGTAAGTTCGGTTCGATTTTGTTGTCGCTCTCTGTCGTTTAGTGTTGTGCAACACTGGCTGCATTTATTCACACTAATTATCCCCATTTCTCTTCTGGCTATCGTCAGGCTCTCGTTTACGTCAGCGCCGCGGCCAAATTGCTGGATTACACAATTTTGGCCGCACCTGCTTCCTTAATACACTACTTCAGGCTCTGGCTGCTTGTCCACAGTTTATTGCCTGGCTGCAGTTGTACAATGGTGCCACGCCTGATCGCAAGAGCTTGATCAGCTCCATGCTGAGCACCCTGGAGGTGGTGAATGGCACGCACGCCACACTGCGCGGTGATCCCCATTCACCAGGCGCAGTGCTGCGTGCCCTAAATACACTTGGCTGGGTAATACCGCAGGAGGAGCATGATGCTCATGAGCTATTCCATGTGCTGCTCTCATCACTGGAGGAGGAGGCCACACGGCCACAGCAGGTGGGCTGCTTGTCCGATGCACTGCTGCCGGCCACAGCGAGCAATCAAATGAACACTGGTAACGACACTGGCGACGGCTTGGATTTGGGCACAGGAGCTGCGACAGCCGCAGCTGCAGCCTATCGCACTTGCAACATGGCTGGCCAACGCATTGGCGATCAGCCCAATCGACCATCCAGTGCCATGCTAACCGATTTCCTCAATATGGAATATGATGAAGCGACCAGCCTACAGCGTCTGGTCCGTTCCGAGGCTCACACACCGGATTCACCAGCCTCGGTGTGTGAACGTGAAACTTCTGAGATTATGACACCAGCAGCGGCTGGTGCTGGCGGCGCCTCCACCTTTATGCCATTCGGCTATGGCTTGGATTTTGAGACGCAGGCGGAGCCATTGAACGTTTCGCCAATGTTGGGCAACGAGCGTCTCTCACGCCCTCGCCTACCTCAACAGCAGCAACAGCAGCACCAAGGCGAGGGCCTCAATCGACGCGTCTCGAGCTCCTGCCGTTCGCTGGAGCGTCTGAATCGCGGTCCTGGCCGTGTATCCATTTGGTCGAGCATGATGCCCAGCCAGGTGGCGCATCCGTTTCAGGGCGCAATGGGCGCCCAAATCGTTTGCAATGGCTGCGGCTCCAAGTCCGCTGTGCGCTATGATAAATTCGATAGCATCACACTAAATCTGCCCACACAGCGGCGCTCTGGCCTGAGCTTGGGCCACTTACTCAGCGAGTACATCACCTCCGAGGATTTGAGCGATGTCAAATGCGACTCATGCAATGAGACAACAATGCACACCAAATCTGTGACCTTTGCCAAGCTTCCAGCTTGCCTGTGCATACACATTGCGCGCACCGTTTGGCTGCCCACCGGGCAGGTGTGCAAGCGACAGGATTACGTGCATTTTCCCGAGAGCTTGTCCATGGCGCCATATAGCTTTGTGCAGCCCCATCTAAACAGTCAGGTGAGTTTAACCGAAATTGCCCTTTCTTCCCATTCTGAAAGCATTTGTGTATTCCATTTAGGCGGGCACACCTTGGGGCTCGACCATGTCGCTGTATTCCTCTAGCCTGCCCATGAACAATGGCGGCGGTGCAGGCGGTGAAGGCTTCGGTGCCATGTTCCCAAAGAATCTGTATCGGCTGCTCGCTGTGGTCGTACATTCCGGCGAAGCGAACAGCGGACACTTTGTGACCTATCGACGCGGTTCCTTACGCAATGCACATCGGTAAGTGATTGGTGATAAGCCATACACGTATACATATCTATAAATATATATATGTATATATATTTCTATATATTTCTATACCTTATAAATATTCACACTTTCAGCTGGTTCTATACATCGGATACGATTGTACGCGAGGTATCAATTGATGAGGTACTCAGTGTGCCGGCATATTTATTGTTCTACGATCGTGGCCAGCAGCGGCGCTGAGCACCGGTCCATGATCCGGTCACAATCCTAATCTCCGAGTCCCCCAAAGAACCAGCTCGTCGGCCTAGTCATTTCTTCATTATAAATATCTTCTCAACGTTGTGATGGAAATTCAAGTTATTATACCCTATAATAATCGAACGGTGGCCATACCAGACAGCTCCAAAAACAAACATAAAACAACAAAGTAAAACAAAAAACAACAAAACAAACAAAAAGAAGAAGAGATTTAAAATCCGTTTTATGGAACTGCGAAAGGAAATAAAGGTCTCAGCAAGCACCAAAAAAACACACACATACACACACCTGGGCAGGTGTTTCTCCATCATACATACACATATATACAATTTTGTTACATTATTGCATTTAAAAATTTTTAAATTGAATTTAAAATTCACGCCATGTGCTTTTTAGACGTCTGTATTTAGCGATATAGATCAAGAACAAAAAATTAATGCTAGGGGTATTACCGCGAGCAAAATTATTAAGTGTATATCGTTTTTTTTTTTTAAGAAATTTGTTCAAATAAATATATACATATATATATATATTATATATGTACTTCCCGCTCTTTAGGCGTCAAGCGATTCGAAAAAAATCGATTGGCTTTTGCATTTATCGGTACAGTGTCTATATACACCCTTAGCCTACCACAATAATAGCGATTTATGTACATGATAGATCAACCCAATCGCCCAAACAATAATAATCTATGTTAAACGCCCTATTAATAAAGTTCGGATAGATATTTACAAAGAAATTGTGTTTATTTTCATTTTACAGAGCATTTGTGGTGATCTATGATCGTTTTTTATATTCTTATATTTTGATAAAATTGGTTTAAATTTAACAGTCTTGTTGCAGTCTAACATACTGATAATGAACTAAGAATGTTATCAGTAACCAATGCTATAAATGCACGCAATGCATATTCATATGTTACTATATACATTCTATAGCCTTAACTTAATTTGAATAGTATTTCATCTAATATATCCAATTACAATAAAGTTTTCACTCTCAAATATAATTTTTGAACATTTTGAATTGCGATCATGAAATCAGATATACTTTCGCATAGTTCAAATTTAACAGCTTAATATAGTCTATCGGCCAAATCAGCCAAATGCTGCATTGGCCAAAAAACAGCATTAATGTATGTTTCGTAATGTATATAATTTGCATATTTTTATTTTAAATAGTAAAATTGTAATTTAATTTAAGTATTAATGCAAATGTCAACGTTTTAATAATTTTTTAAAGATTAATCTATGTTATCAATGCAATTATCGCCTATCGATAAACTTGAATGCACCAACATTAGATCGTGTGTACACACTGACGCTGCGCATTTGCCATTGCGTACTTCTGGCTCGCACTTGTGTACAATTCGAAATTCAAAAGCTATGTGAAGCAATGTCAAACAATAATAGTACAAAACGTAAACTACATTATGATGGAAAATTACAGAGCACCTCACGCATTACGCCCAAAATTAGAGAATATCTGGCGGAACTGTCCAACGATCGTGAATTGGGCCTGGAACGCTTCATGGCTTTCTCATCAACCACTTCCACAACGAGCAGCAACGTGAGCGTCGGCGCGCCAAGCAGCCGCTGCCGTAGCCGTAGCAGCAGCTTGGGGGTTGCAACAACAGCTGCATGCGCAGCTGCCAAGACCATCGCTCGAAAGCAAAAGGAATGCGTTTCGTCAACTGAGAACGTAAAGCAGATACCCATTGTCATGGATAACAAAGTGGGAAGTGGTCCACGCATTGCATCCGCCTCGGTAGAGGATCTTCGCACGCCAACTAAAAGCACGCAGACGCGAACGCCGATGATAAAAACCCGCAAAACTCAAACGCCGGAATCGGCGCTCAAATCGCACAAGCGTCTCGAATGGGATCCCGCCGCTGATGTGGGTTATCGCTATGGTCGTGCTGCCTCCACCAGCAATATTAGCACATTAGAGCGCTCTGTATTGGAAGCGGTCATACAGCCTGCTGTTAGATGCCCAGGAGCGGATCGACCCAATCATTCAGAAACCGATTTGAATCGACTGCAGCAGGAGGGCAAAAAGGAGCTAAATCAACAGAAGCCAGCTGCACCGCTTGCCTCCAGCACCCTTGTCCCAGGCAATCACACTTGTAGTCAGCCACAGGCGACGCCTACAGCTACGCCCGTGGCCACGCCCACGCCTGTGCCCAGCCAGAGTTCGCGGAGGGAGAGTTGCGCCACATCCGCCGTGAGCAGCTTTGACTATCAGCATAATTCGCGTCCCTCGACCAGTCAGAGCAACAGTGGAAGCCAAAGCCAAAGCCAAAGCCGCAGCCGCAGCCGTAGCCGAAGCTTAAGCGCCGAGGAGCTGCTGCGTCATGTGGAACAGCAGCGTCAAGAGCGTGAATATGCAGCGCAGCTGGAGCAGGTGCTGTGCAACCGACGCAACACGAACAAGGAAAAGAGGGAGCACAAGGAAAACAAAGAGAACAAGGAGAATAAACAGCCACCGCAGCACCAACAGCAGCAAAACATCTCTAGCTGTTCGAGCGCCACTAGTTCGCCCGCTAAATGCGATCTGGATCTGGGCATTGATTTGCTCTGCTCGCTGGTCAATAAGCGCAGCCTCAGCTATGGCCAAAAGAAACAGCTAATTCGGGATATAGCCAAGCGGTTGGCCTGCCTTGATCTGACGGCCAGCAGCAGCAGTAGCCTCAACGGTCGAACGGATGTCAAGCGCGTCCAGTACAAGGACGCGCAGCTCAAGGAGAAGCACAGAAGAGAGAAATTTATAGCTGGCGGTGCAGGTATGATACACTTATCGTTCAATGGAGTTAGCTCTATATACCATACTCCCTTTGTCTGTAGATACCTTGCGCCATAGCCAGCCTCTCAGAAAGGACATGAGCGTCAATACAAGTAAAAGGAATTCGTTGGAGCATTCGGTGCCTGCTGCAACCACGCCAGCTCCAGCAGTTGCGCCTGCTGCTGTGCCTAGTCCAGTTGCTTCTCGTGCCGCAGCAACAATAAGTCCCATCCATACTGCCACGACGGAGTGTGCTCCCGTCTCTTTGGCTGCTCCCGTGCCTGCTCCTCGCACACGCCTGGCCACGCCCGCACTCACACCACTGCCCAGCAGCTATACATCCACTAGCAGCGCCACCTCCAATGAGCTGGTCACACAAAAGACAAATGTACAGATTAGATACACCGTCAACGCTGTCGATGAGCAGGCAGCCGTGCAGGAATGGCTGAATCCCATGACGCAGAGCGAGATTGAGTATGAGGAGAAGCGATTGCAACGCGTCCAACTAGACTCAGAGCGACGCACGCAGCTCAATTGGATCGAAACGGAAATTCTGCGTCTGCGCAAGCTACAGCATCTATTGACCAACGCTGCCAAGAGCGTGATCTCGCCCCCATCCAGTGCGAAATCTGTGCGCATACCCATCCAGATGGCGGTGGAGCATCCTCAGGTCATGCCAAATGCACCAAAAGCAGCGCTCCCAGCCGCGCCCATTGCAACATTTCCCCGTAGCCTTGGAGGTGCAGCGGCAGCACCTCCTCCACCTCCTCCTCCACCACCACCACGTGCGCCGCAGCAGCGCAGCAAAATGGCCACGCCCACTGGCCTCAGTGAGCACTCGGGCAGCACCGAAAGCGTCTGCTCCTTTGTCCAGCAGCGACAGCGCCAGTTCATGGCCCACTATCAAAATCAGCAACAGCAACGTCTGGAGCAGCAGCAGCAGCAACAGCAGCAACAGCTCCTCCTGCGACAGCAGCAACAGCAGCAGCACGTCATCTATCGGCAGCAGCAGCTGCAACAGCAGCAGCTGCAACAGCAGCAGCTGCAACAGCAGCACGATTATAATGTCACGTGCCACATGGTGAGATCTAAATTTAATGCAGACTGATTCTACTTACAGCTGAAGCTTGTATAGAGGAAGAGGGACAAGAACAGAGAGGGAGGGAGGGAGATAATCACTCATTTACTTGTTTATGAACTAATAGATTAGAAAGAGAGAGAGAGATATGGATAGAGAGGAAGAGAAATAGAGATTGGGAGATGTCGAAGGCTTCACTTAAAAACCAAACAGATCTTATGATAAGAGTTTGAATAGCAATCGAGATCTCCCCTAAAGTGTAAGAGTGAGAGAGAGAGAGAGAGGGGGCGGATTGGATTGGCCCAATCATTTAAACAATGTTGATATATGTTCGAGTTCCAGACTTGTCTGTAATCTAATGTTTCAGCCGTAGACTTCAGAGTTAAATAACTATACAAGAATCACAGGGAAATTCCCTATTACAATACTTAGTGATAATTCATTTATAATCTGATCTATAGCTATGCCTTATCAAATCAACTAATTGCTATTGTTTCGTTGCTTATCTTACAGCAACGATGCCCGTATAATAAATTGCAACAACGCCAACAACAACAACCAATACAACAGCAACAAAATCAATACACGGAAATGCAATACACTCGAACTGTTGGCTGCCTGGATGAGGGCCCCATCTACTATCAGGTGGTCAACTCACATGCCTCGCCTTGTCATGTGCATGCTGCGGCACCAACAGTGACGACGACTGCGGCAGCAGCAGCAGCAGCAGCAGTAACAACTGCAGCAAGTACCAATGGCGCAACCACAAACTCCACCTCATCCATGTTGTGCATCAGCTCGGAGATGTCCATACCTTTGAGTTTGGCCAATGCATGTGAGGCAACGACGACAACAACAACGACAACAACACATCAGTATGACGATGTGGCGTGCCACCAGCAGCTGCAGCCGCGCCAGCATCGACGTCAATCGCAGCGCACCTCCAGTTCCAGCGAGCAGAAGCGACCGCAGCAGCAGCAGTGCTGGGAGGGGGAGCAAAGGCAATCACAGTATGTGCTGCAAGTGAGGCCACGTGGCATTGCCTATGTCATACACTTCAGTTCGACTACGGGCACCGTCGAGGAAACACCGGACTTCTTGTCCTTGCAGGATCATCTGCAACGTGCTCGCCCGCAATTCTGCGCTCAGTCCAAGCAGCGCAAAGCGATTCTCAATCAGATGCAGCTGCTGCGCAATGCACGCCGCAAAGAACTCGAGCAGCTCATCGAACACGGCAGCCTGGACTCGCTGGACCAGCGACTGAAGCAGCTGCCACCACCTGTCGCCTGTAAGTGCCGTGCTACCCAGACTCCCGTTGAGTTTTCAGTAATATTTCGATATTTTATTTTTTATTCCTGCAGCTCGCATTCGCATATTTTCCACACGCGAGATGAAGGCGTTGACCAGCAAACGTTGCGAGAAACTGCCCGAGGTGATTGCCGCACAAAAGCGTGAATGCGAGGAGCGTCGCCGTCGCAGCAATCGTATACTGCGTGACGTCTTCAATCGGGTATGCCAAACTGCACACATACATATGCTCTCTATAGACTCTCGATTGCTAATTGCATTTCTCATTCACAGCGTTTGCAGCGTCGCGTTCGCTGTGGCAAGCTCTCACTCAATCACAGTCGCACCGTTATCTAGTACAGCCAGCAATTCAACCAGTGCCAGTTGCAAAATATATATACTTATATATAAATCGGCCATATAGAATTGTTTTCTGAATCAAATAGTTTTATATGCATGCTATTGAAGGCTCTATGTCAAATCGATTTTATATTTTAATTTAGTTTTTATACATCTATTTTTTTGTCCATGTGTTTTGTCAAGTCATATTTAGTAGAATTTAGATTTGATTCTGTTGACCGATAAAAAATTTCATCTGCCATAAAAGAGTTTTAAATTTGGTTTTATAATTTCAATCTATAATTAAAAGTAAAATGTTAGCTAGGAATGTTATATAGGAATAAGTAAAGTTTATATTGAACAGAACTATTGATCAAATGGATCAATAAAATAGAACATTAATAATATGCATGTTTTATAAAAGAAACTTAGATTACAAAAAGTTAATGTTTGTGCTCAATTTATATATAAAATAAAGTGAAAATACAAAACCGAAAAATTCAGTGCAATTTTGGGCTCTACCAGATTAGATAAATAAAGACCAGGATGGGTTTTTTTTTTTTTTTTTTAGATTGGATTTTATTTATTTAAGTTTATAACATTGGCGATTAACAATATTGCGTATTAATTGTATAATATTATGTAATTAATTTAAACTCTTTGCAAGCTAAACAACGTTTAATTTCCTAAATATGTTTTTGGTGTTCTCTATTCGAAGGAAAATTCTTAAGATTAACAAGATCGAAACATTTAGTTGAATAACAAAATGTGAACAAAAAACAACAATTAAATAATATGAATTAACTAATTTAATGCAGCTACAAATGCATATTATTTATAGGTGTTTATCGTTTATCGAGATATAAGTGTTGATTGTAATTATAATGTAAACAATTAATTTATATATATATGTGTATGTATGTATTTATATATAAATAGGATTATGTTATTTGTAATACCAGCCGCAATGCCAAATCAGGTCACAGGTCTCACATTTCTGTTTTGCCACAGATCGAAGTATAGTGGAAGGTTGTTCTTTTTATTTTGTTGTTGGTTTGTTTGATTTTTTTTTCGCCATTGAAGGTTAGGAACGTTTTGGAATTGGAATAGGAATCGATTAGTGGACTGGACCAACAAAACAATGCGAAGCAGTTAAAGTCGGTTATGTATGTGTGGGGATTATATTCGATTAAATAACTGTTGCATACAGATCGGGAATATATGTATATAGAAATTTAAATATTTATATATATATACAATATATATATATATATGTATATATATATATGATAACAACGCGTTAGTATATCGGCGAAAACTAGTTTCTTAAAAGCTAATAATTGAGATTGCAATTAGACGAGCTCCGATCTCACTCGCTTGATCAACTTATTTGCGTGCTACCATATCCAAGCCACCTTCCTCCTCCATTTTTGTCAAGAACTTGATGGCACGCTGAGAGGGTTCCGTCTGTCTAGCCATATCGATTAGGCCCAGTAGCTTCTTGATGCCAATGAAGACGCTGTGAATATTTAGAGTATATTGTATAGATGAATGTAGAACGGGTCAGTGGCATCATCGGCTTATATACATACCGTTTGCCAGCCATCTTCTTGCCAATGGCTTGCAGTTCGCCCTTGCTAAAGATGTCCGTGTCCTCGAGAACGGAGATGACATGCTCCGGACTGGATAGATTGGGCACATGCAGCACCGCCGTGAAGGCTGAAAGCATTTCCATTTCCTCCAAGACTTCACTGTAAGCAGTAGAGAATTAGTTCGAGTTTCGCTATAAGGATATGGCATTCCTTACCGTCTGCTGGAGGTGCAGAGAATGAGAAGCTTGCGTCCCTTGGGCGGCTGCTTCTTGAGCAGCACAAGCAACGCCTGAAGCGTTAGATTCGAGTATCGCGGTCCAATGGGTCCATAGTCGAGCAGACGTTCCACATTATCGACGACAATGCAGCTGAGTGTGGAGCGATAGGCATCATCGAATATCTTGCGAATGTGCAAGCATTTTGCCGACTCCGTATAGCCGACCATATCCTCCGGCGAGCAGACCTTGACAAACGGAAAATCGGACATTTTCGCTAGTTGGGCAGCTAAGGCCGTCTTTCCAGAGTTTGGAGCACCAGCAATCAGAACCGAGACAAGACCACTGGACTCGGGCGCTTTGGCCTGCTGGACATAGAGCATGCCATCCTCTAGAAGATTGCTAACGGGCTGACCCCAGTTGACGACGCCGCGTGCCAGCATATTATCGAGTATCTCTTGGGCGGTGCCGAAGGCTGGCTTAATATCATGCTCCAGCGAATGTAGGAAATCAGCACGATTCACTTTCAATTTCTCCATAGCCTCCGGATCGACGGTGACCTTGGCATCGGCCTTGATCAGCCGATTCATGGCGCTCGATTGTGCTGCTCGCACAAGACCCTCAAGCTCTGCACCGCTAAAGTTCTTGGTGAGCGCTGCGATCTCCCTGCAGTCGACATCGTCACTGATCTTGTTGAAGTCCCGCATACGTTTCGTATGTATGTTCAAGATCTGGACGCGTCCCTCTTCGTTGGGCAAACTGATCTCCATTTGGACTTCCAAGCGACCAGGACGCAGCAGCGCCTCATCGATCATGTCCCGTCGATTGGTCATGCCGATGACCAAGATATTGTTCAACTGATCCACACCATCGATTTTGGTCAGCAGCTGATTGACGACGGTGTCGTGGACACCACTATTGCCAGCCACAGAGCCACGCTGCTTGCAAATGGCATCGATCTCATCGAAGATGATAATATGCAGTCCACTATTCGGACCCAGACGCTTCTCTTCCTCTTCGGCCTCGGCGAACAGACGTCGCACATTCGCTTCCGATTCGCCCACATATTTATCCAATATCTGCGGTCCATTCACGATCTTCGGCTCACGGGCGTTCAGCATGGTTCCAATTTGACGAGCCATCAGGGTTTTGCCCGTACCAGGTGGGCCATAGAGCAAGATGCCTTTTACATGCTTGCAGCCCAGCTGCTCGACCAGTTCGGGTGGAAAGACACGCGAGGCAAACGCACGACGAAAGATAGCATTGAACTCATTGTCCAAGCCGCCGATGCCCATTTTGCCAAAGTCCCAATCGGGATTGATAATGGATTGGCGCACCACCTTGCCCTTCGATTTGCCCTGCAGATTGAGGGAGCTATTCTCTGCCTTCTCGAACTGCACCACCGTGTTGCCCAAGATCCGACCGAAACGGACGTTGCGCATCGCTGGCTCCTTGCCCTCGCCCAGGCTCTTCGGATCGATGGCCTCCAGCACCTTGACGGCCAGGCCGAGTAGCTTCTTGTCCTTGAAATTGAAGACCAACGATTGGCCAACAGTCAAGGCCATGCCAGCGAATTGCATGATGAACTCCTTGGCCATCTCATCTGAGTCATACGGCTCCTGTGAAACGCTGCGGGGGAAATTTAAATTGAAATTGAAGGACGGTTCCATTTTATAAATAAATATATCATGAAATCATCATCAGGAATGAGCAGGAACTAATGAAACTTATTACGCAAGTCTTCTCAGAAACCAATTTTGGCCATACTTACAGCTGGGAAGTAATGAAACAATATTTTAACTTTACCTCCTGGTTACCTAGCCTTAGTTTTGTCTCTATAACTAACATCAATTTGTTTAAGGTAACCTTACTTTTAGCTATTAGTAGGTACTAAATTTATATAATTATATCTAATACTGGTACTGGTAGAAATCAGATTTGAATAATTGGTCGAACCTCATATGTATATCTGTTATATAACAAACAAATTAAGCTATATTTTCACATTTTGCACACTTACGTCTTCTTTTGGAGAAAATCGGTTTCAAAGGATACAGATGTTATGACATCGGAGTTTGCATCGAAGCGATAGGGGCGCACATCCAGCTCCTGATTGATGGAGAGCATCGCCCACTTGCGCTGCACGAGAGAGAAGCCTACATATCCTCTGGGCACTTCCATTGTCTTCTCCAATGCGAATATAAAATGTTGACCCGGTGCGGGTGAAATATCTGCATACCTGAAGAATAGTGAGATATATATGCATAAATAAATAAATATAAATATATCGTGATGTTTCCCCTTTAATGGGACACATACTTCACATCATCTGGAAAATCGGCCACATTGACAATCGCTCGATTAGTGAGGGACAATTCGTCCGTGGGACACTTCGTAGCCTTCAAACGCTGCAAATTTGTTATGTTTATATAAGAAATAGAAGAGATTATATATATATAGCACACAACTCACATAAGACATTTTTGCTGCCTGGTTATGTGGTGAGGGTTGTTTCTTGTTTACAGTCTCAGCCCAAGCTTGAATATAATTCTTATTGATTCCTCAAGTTTTTCAATTTCCCAATTTAAAGCTTATATCGGGCTTTACCTATTAGACACAATTTTAATTTATTTCAATGTTCACCACTTCCTTGTATTTTGATTATGCTGCATTGCTTTCTGCTGCACATTAAGTTTGCACCAATTTTATTTCATTGATTTCTTCACAAAATTTTGCTGCGCAGCTTAAATAATGCGCGCACGCACCTGCCAACGAATTTAAATATAATGAAACCGGTTGGCAGGCCTAACAGCTGTTTAACAGGCTTTGCAGCTGTCACTGTTAAGAGACAATATATGCACACTGTTAAAAGACCATGATCACTAACACCACTGACCAGACAACACATAGACTAGACAACTAGCACGATTGAGTGATAGTAGGTTATGCAAAGCGAACAGCTGTTTTAACAGCGTGACGTCATTATTTCAGAAAATGTTGGGCGCGCATTTGAATTTGTATGAAAATCAAGCAATTTCGACACTGTTATTTGTTTTAAAACTAGTTGATTAAATAAAATGAGCTGGGCGGCTAATCACAAGTGCTACATAGATTCAACAATCTGACAATATAAGGGTTATTGCTAATTTGCTGTTTCCTGGGCATATATTGATCACCCAATCCTTTCATCACGTTTACTTTCGCGGAGAATGGCTTTAGCTTTATAATATTAGAGCTTGTTTTTAAATCTAAACTACTAAACCCCTACTAAGCATTATGCATTTCCC